TCTCATTCTCAAGTCCAGTTAAAAACCAATTTCTCAGCATCTTTAGACCTCTTCTTGACCAATTTAAAATATTTTTTATTCCAAAAATCAGTACCTTAGGCGGGTTTTGAACATCTCCATAGAAGGAGACTCCACAACCTCTCTGGGCAGCCTGTTCCAGTGTTCTGTTACCCTTACTGGGAAGAAGTTCTTTCTCATGTTTAAGCTGATCCTCCTATGTTCCAGCTTATATCCATTTCCCCTTGTCCTGTCATTGGATGCCACTGAGAAGAGTCTGGCTGCATCCTCATGACAGTCACCCTTTACATATTTATAAATATTAATGAGGTCCCTCCTCAGTCTCCTCTTCTCCAAGCTAAAGAGACCCAACAAACTAAACAGTTTAGGTCACACTGATCCGAGACCTTCTCCCCTATGTATAGGAAGAGCACTACACAGGAGAGGCATTATATGGACTGCAAGAAGGCAACGGCCCCTCCAGCCTAATCCAAGAGGAGAAGCACACTGTCCCGCTGCACAGGGAGGGATGGGCAACGGGAAGATCCCTTAATCTTGTCCCCTCTTATGAGTGTGAAATGAACTTTCCACGTGATTGCCTGCTGGAGTTCTTACAGTACCAACGATGTGGTGCCAGTCAAAAGCCTTTCCAGTTTGAGAAGATGAAGGTGTTTTGATTTTAAAACAGGCTGAGGGGTCTGTTAGGGTTAACTACTGCTGACACACTAACTTGAAAGCAAAGGGAAACGTTACTACAAAGCAACTTGCTATATTTAACCAGCTACTGCAAGGTGATCTGAACTCTGTGGCATGAAGAGATTTACCAGGCACTTGGCAGGCCCGAGGGTTGGCGCAGGGAAGCATCCTCACACCTCCGGTTACACAGACAAGTCAATGAAGCTGTTAATACAGGGATCTACTCACTGTCTTTTCATCCATGGCCAGGCCAGGGACTAAATACACATATTTAAGAAATAAATTTAAGCATTCAGATGCAAGAAGACTGCTTGTGGTGGTTCTGTTTTTAAATGCTGCCTCCAGTTGCCATGATTTTCATCACGGGAGACCTATGGCTGATGGTTAGCAGTCCAGAAAAACTTGGCCTTAAGAGCCGATTTGAGCTCTAATGGCATTTTGTAAGGGCTTTGTTCTCTGTAGGGGAAAAAAAAAAAACCAAAACAAAAACCCAAACCACCTCCAAGCACAAGAATTAAGGTTTCATCATCACTTTTTTCTCCGCAACATCAACAAGATTCTGCAGAGGCCTTGCCAGCATCCCACGGTTACAGCTCCTTTTATACAACTTTTGCTCACAAGTGTTGTAATGACTCCTCCTAGATCATCTTCCAGACGATAAAAGGGTGAGCCACTGCTGCGAACAGAACTCCTTTCATCACCAAAAAAGTGTGCTTGAAAAATATGAGCAGCTGACATCTTTTCAATCCTAGAAAATAGCACATAGAATCATAGAATGCTTAGGGTTGGAAGGGACCTCAAAGATCATCTAGTTCCAACCCCCCTGCCATGGGCAGGGAAACTCTCCACTACTCCAGGTTGCCCAAAGCCTCATCCAACTTGGCCTTGAACGTCATCACCTTTTAGATGTGAGCACTTCTGCTTAATATGCACATATTACACATTTAACTTCATTAATAAAACCATGACAAGAGACTCAACTCTGAGCTTCAAGTCACACTGTTACTATCATCCATGGCAAAATAAGAATCTAGGGACACACAAAACAAAAAAAAAAACATTTACTGCTGGAGGCAATGCCAACACTAAGAACAACTTCACCAAAATCAGTGCTTTGCCATGTTACAGGAAGTACAAATTGATCCATCATCCGAAGCCTAGCACAGAACAAGGGAGAATATGAATCATCTCCGTTTTATGGATGCAGAACAGGATTACAAAGCCATTAGGTGACTTGTAATATCAGAAGCTTCAGACTGTAAATTAGTATGTATCTCTCCAGCTCACTACCTTAACCATCAAGGCAAACCAGTCTTCCTCCCTGATAAGGTACACGGTGATACATAAACACAGAAATAATCTTTTGTATTGCAAACAATATGCTATTCTAAAAATTAAAGCTCCTCAGTTTTCCTAATGCAACAATTAGGTGACAGAATGAAGCACCAGGTCCAGTTTCTCACTAAGTCGCTGGCAACACCACACTACTGCATCGTGTTGAGAGAGTAGCTGTCACCAAGACAAAGTGATGGGAATGAAAGATGTGGTTTAGAAGCATTTGATTTCATATTCCCAGCTCTTCCACTGACTCTTTACACAGCTGGAGCAAAATCGAAAGGCACACACTTGCCACGCTGTTCTGTCTAGTGCATTTAGTATGGATGAAGACTTTCCAGTTCAAGAAGCCTAACAAATTCATACAGTGCCATATGTACCACGTCCATAGTCTTCTTTGGTGCCTCTACGGTAGCAAACAGGAAAAGTGCAGTCAGATGAATGATGACCAGAAGAGTCATTCAGAGGATGCTCAATGTGTCTCCAAATCAGTTAAGAGCCTCGAAAGGAATTCTGGCAGTTGTGCACATCTGGCTGGACAGAGAGAGGGTATTGCAGAATACCAAGCTCACCCCTGGAAAAGTAAGTGATCTTTATCAATGCCACAAAGTTTTAGGGTGAGTAGAAGGACGCTTTCTCCTAGAGAACAATAAAGAACGAATCATCAAGGATACAAAAAAAGCTGTAAAATTATAATAGCCCAGGAAGGACATAGACTGTCAAAACTCACAGTGACAAACAGACACAAAGAAAACACCTTTACAATTTTGCAACTGATCAGAGAAGACTCCCACCCAAAAAACCAGGCCATTTTCTTGAGTACTTTTATCAACAGCAGGAGGTGGTGTCACAGTGCAGCTGTCAGACATTCCCTGGAGAGGTGCAGATCACAAGGCTTGTCTTAAGCTGAAATACAATTGAGTGGAACAGAGACAGTAACAGAGATTAAAACTTTAATTTAAAACTTTGCCAACAAAAATTGATTACAAAAAGGGAAATTATCTGTACAAAATAAGAAAGGAGGTACTCATTTAACAAGAAACTGCCATTGTCAGTGTACGCTGGAGGGCAAACAGTGCTCCAATTCGAGTGACAAGTGAGGAACGAACAAACTGCGCTCGTAATACGGAATTCTGCAGTGAATTGTCCATAAACCTAGAGTAAATACACCTGAAGCAGCTCAAAATCTAATCCAGACTTATCAGAAGTCTATTTTCTTTGCAAATCTTTTCTTATCAATTTAGAGGAGGATGTACTAGAAAGCAAGACCCAGCCCAGTGCACTGGGCCAAGACAATGACTTTTGTCATGTTTCCTCCCACTCAAGCCTTCCTTCCGGCCTTCTGTACGAAGGTGTTCTGCAGTTTCAGTGTGCCAGGGTTTTAGCCGAGTCAAACTATTGCATCTTCACTTAACAGTGAGGTCCTGACTCAAAATGAAGACAAATGCTTTGGAGACACTGATATCACTATGGCTAAAAAGACCAGCTGCATCATGACTTGATGGAAACAATGGTTTTCAGACTTTTCAAGTTAGCATCAAATAACAGCTTCGCTCAACGACAGATTAGTATTTACAATATTGCAGTCCTCTTTTCTACCTACCATTTTATACAAAGAAAGAGACACGAGCATCTTTAAAACTCATCACTGAACAGACAAAAATGGCAAGTGATTTCTGAATTCCAAGTTTCTGTAAAACCTAAGCACACAATATGATCATTACCAGTTTTCTACGTTCCTCGACAAGCCGAATCAACAAAACTGAGTTGCAGTGAAGAAACAGGGCATGCATTACTTTCAAGCAAGCCAGTTGAATACTTCTAGTCCAACTGCTTATTTTCCAATCAGTTTCACATCACGTAGTATTTACAAGTTTTTAAACCTACAGAACCCAGCTCTAGTGAAGAAACAAAGTAGTAATAAAAACGTTTTGGCCCAGATTCACTTCATCTACTTATAGATACCTGAGATACCTAAGCTGGGGCAGAACAGCTTTCTGTGCCCTACCTACCAAGTAAAAAGACAGATAAATGCTAAAAGGAATTTCGGTCAGAGACTTGAATCTCATCCTAGTGACGATGCTCTTTTTCCTCCAACGATAAAACAAAAAGTGAGAAACTATATTCCAATTTAGAAGTCTTGGTTAAGCTTAGAGTAATTGTGTTCCTAGCTTAAGTGTTGTCATTTACGTGAACCTAAGCCTTACCTTGCTCACTAGCAGCTCCCACCTAGGGGAGCTGGGAACGGCTACCTTTTAAGAATGCTATGAGACATGCATGAGTCCTCCTTACAGCCAGGAAAACTGAGATAAGCAAGAATTTTGCTCAGATCCATGCGGTGAGTCAGTAACAAGCTAGCATTACAGCTTCCTGGAACTTAGCCCTGTGCTCTACCCACAGGAACCCAGTAAGAGGAATACTACTGTACAGAATCATTCCCTTTTCTATGTCAAAAACTTTTACCAAAAAAAGTACAGATACTAATAAACAGTGTACATAATTTCTTATTTGACAATGAAAGAGTCCTGTAGTAAAGCAATCTGTTTTACTGTATCTTGACCCTGGAAAAGTTTATTTCCAGCTTTGATTCTTTGATGTCTTAAAGCTTTTAAGAGAAGGCTGAAGATTCAGTTAACAAGCATAATGCTGCAGTCAGTACCCTTCACATTAACCACAATACGTTACATTTTCTAGTTTAAGTAGTATTTGTGCTACCCAATTTTGCAATCAAAATAGAAACCTTGAAGCCAAGAATTCACAGATCTCAGGGGGAAAAAAAAAGCCAGACAACTTCAGTTTAAACAAAGCAAGCCTTGTAACATGCCATGAAGAGTTCAGAGATTTCAGTTCTGTGAGTATCTGTTATTGCCATTTCAAACGAAAGCCCACTTATCCTCAGTCTTGCCCATCCCATGCTGTAGCAGGCAGGACGAATGCTGCATGGCAAGAAAAAACTCCCCTCAATACACAGCTTAATAATGGAAATGAATCATTTGCACTTTGCTTTATGAATGCAGCAGAGAGATATCACTTAAATAATATTTTAAGAGACAGCTATGGAAAAACTCAGCTTCCTAAAATTGGAGTTAGTTTGATCCATCTGCCTCACATTGGATTCTTAACTTACCATGGTCAACAAAGCTTTTAACATACCAGGCGAGACAGACCACCATTAGCTTGTTCCATCACATCACAGAACAAGACAGCATAATGGATGCCCGTTGCAACAGACAGACAATACTGTATAAAGAAGGCTTTTTTTAATGGCAGAATCAAATTGGACACTATTGACTAACCTGGAGCAAGATCTACATTTTTCCCTTTTGGAGTTTTTAATTTTCTCTTGAATCAGAAACACTCTTCTAATCAGTTAAATCCAACAGTACTACAGAGAGCTCAGTTCTTAAGCATGCTCTCCACCAGGAAGAGTCGGTTCTACATCCAGTTAAAACAGAAGACAGTTGCTGTTTTCCAAGGGCAGGAGTTCTTCACTGATCACCTAGCCGGAAACCTTGGCCCCAGTTGTGTCTTCCACCACCCTGCTGATCTTCTGCAGCTCTTCTCATGCTAGCAGGTGGGACACCAAACCCCGACACTCCTCCTCTCCTATTTGGCAGCCAGCGGTACCTAGGACAAGCCAGAAGAGACGGAGAGAGTTTGAGAAATAGCTGTACCTTGGGGGTCACTGCCAGACTACTTTTCCATGCACTTCCTTTTAGCTGCTAGACTTTGCAGTAAAACTGGCTTTTCACAGCAGTACTTCACAGAATTCTTTCCAAAGCTAAGCCCTCAGCACATTGAGAAATGGGAATTCTGGGGAACTTCCATCGCTGGTATATGGTCAGATACAGTAATTCAAACACAGGGAAAAAACCCACATGATAAGGGAGTCTCGTTGTTGAGAAAAAATGCTGTGACACAAACTTAATTCTCCTAATTTCTCTCTCTTTCTTTCAGGGGAAATAATAAAAAAATCCAAATCACTTCTGAGCATTTCTCTCTCCAATAGTTACAAAGGTCCTGTTATCACAGCATCTAACTATCTCACTGCTTCCCAAGTAAACATTCCTGAGGAACTGAGGACCAAAGAGACAGGAGGGCTTGCAAATACAAAGCAGAATATAAAGCTTTCTTACTCGTTAAAACTTGTACAGAAAGTTTAACTGTAACTCAACTTTGCATCTTATAATTAAGAGTTTATGCTTTAAAAAGGGTTAACTGTGTTGCTAAATAAAGTTTGGTAGAGAAAGAATATTTACAACCCAAAGGGATGAGGACAAGGGAACCGAAGCTACAAACTTTGGCTTCTGATTGTAGTATTTCAATCCTAAAACAATGAACAGATCCCAAGAAAAAGCACTTCAGAAACTAAGACCTGCAGTCTCAGTCAAGGTGAGTGGTACCGATTGCAAAGCTGAATACACATTATAGTCCTGAACACGCCTACAACCGACTCCTGTTATTGCTACAGGTTGCTGAACTGATAGCTACTGTAACGACAGATGGAAATACAGAGATCACATCATGTACAGGAGAAAACAATTTTTTCGATACTATCTGATAATCATCAGATAATTGAGTTCTCTTTACTACAGCTCAATTCACTAGCAGAACTATGGACTTTTACTCTCACTCTTAAGAGTGGGTAAAGGACACAAGCCACCCATAGGGGTAACAAAGAATTCTCACATGGGCCACTTACAAGAAACTCCACGTTTTTGATGACTTAGCAGCACAGTCACTATGATAGTCAAGCAGGTTGATTTAGCAAAGTACTTTACACCTCATAATCCCAGCAAATATAAGTCTGAGGAACAATACAGAAAATTGGATCAAACAAACAGTGAGCTAAAGAATAAAGCCAGCTTACAGGAACTGAGGCGTGGACAGGAAATTCCTTCCTCCCAAATCCATTGGATATTTAAACATTAAGAAGAAATACAGGTGTCCAACCAGATTTCCTATCAGCTCATTGATGACTCTGCAATGCAAAAGAAAAAGAATTGTTTCATGTGCTGTCTTCTCTGAAAATAAATGAGTGACCATCATCTGCCAGTTTTTACTGTTCACCTGCCACGGGCACTGCCGAGGTCGTAAGCCACAAAAAATATCCCTTCCCTGAGAATTTTGCAGCCACTTCTTTAGAAGGGCCAGTCTTCAATGCCAACACATCAACAGGCTGTTCCACCCTCCCTTCCAAGCCTCTTCTACAATCTGTACTGAAAACGCAATTAAATACTTGTTTACATCAGGGAATTAGACTGTACAGCTATTAGTGTCTAAAATAATAATTTGCAGAGCTTGAGAAGTTACTGCTGTTTTCACTGGACAACCTGTCTCCTGCTGTACTGAACTGTTTTGTTCCCAGTTTTGCAAAAACACTGCTGAATGGAGGCCCTTGAGTATCTTCCATCATGCATAGAAACAGCAGGTATCTAACAGCAAGCAGTTTTCTCAAGTGACGGATGAGTCAGTAGGAGGCACAGCAAGAAAAGGGAACTTGGTTTTGCTGTAAGATCTCCTCCTTTTATAAATCAACCACATTTTATCGTTACTAATTGTGTTACAGCGGCACCAAGAGGCCCCAACCAAAAGGGCACCAAGGGGACAGACCATGCACAGAGGGGATTTCGGCATCAGGGACTTTAGTCAAAGAAACTGAAGACAGACCAACGAATTCAGCAGGTGCTAATACTGCACTCTGTCGGTTTGTTATCACCATTTTCCCTTGTTTCACAAGCCAAAAAAACCATCACGTTGGGCGAGACTGTGAGGGAAAGAAGTAACAGCACCATCAGAGTCAAGCTGAATTTGTTGCTAAAACCAGTAACGATGACTGGTCATATTGGATGCCATCTTTCTTTGCCATGCATTACTCTTTAAGTAAGGAAAAGACCTAATGCACAGATTTACTAGAAAATAAACAAAATTCTTATTACTTTCCCCTCACCTACATTCTCTAATTCTCACATGCACATCTCCTCTTTGCATTTGTCTTAAATGACCACCATGTGACACTCAGCATTACCAGTCAGACTACACAGCTTTAAGCCTCTTATTTCAATATTGCTTCAAAATCCAGCAATAAGTTCAATAGCTGTAAAAGCTTTTGTAACTTCAAATTGGCCATATAAGTAAATACGTACGATCCACCAATGATGTAGTTGAATCCCAGAATAACCCATGGAAGGTAACAGGCCTGAAAAAGAACGCAATAGAGACAGCACAAGTTAAGGACATAAACCTGCTCATCTTCACACTACACTAATAAGCATGATTTTAACCTCAATGTTTTAGGCATTACACAAATCCTGATATATTAACTTAATCAAATTCTACCTAACAAGGTAGGATACTGCAAACTGAGCGACCACTAACACTTTTAGACAAATCATACTCATTTAAACATTGTAACTGGATGCACCTTTTGCACTCTATGTTCCACAGTAAGCTTCCATTTGAAACAAAGTCCTAATATTTCTGATTTTGAACAGGTCTGGAAACAATGATCACAAGAGTTTTCACTACAAGATCTGGCAGAAACAGACGACGTTTGTACAGGAAAAAACAATTTAAAGTATCAACATTTTGTCACTATGGTGTCACTACAATTCAGCTTTTATCCAGGTTAATGTTTACCAGAAATGTTTTCCTCTTTTCAGACCGATGAATTTCAGTTGTCAGGACATCTTTTCAGTAAAGTCACACTGAGTGACACTGTATGGAAGACCATGAAGAAATTTGTCTTTGCTGCATCTCAAGGACTATACAGTTATAAGACATCTTTAAAAAGAGAAAATACTTATATTTTTTCCCCTCACCCCATTGATGTGCATCTTCTGGGCAGAAACATTTCTAATATCCTGTCTGACATACCTTAAATCTTGTTCCAAACCAAAATGATACAATCATGTCTCTGTTCAGCTGGGCCCACACATAAAGCACCGACATGATGAGTGGAATCATCAGCAACTGCAATGTTAAAAAAAAACAAAACAAACCAAACAAAAAACAAACACACACAAAAAGTTACCATCACTTTCACAGAAGCCCAAGAAACTTAAACAGGCAACAGGAGCTATAGGCTTAAGAAATGGCTTGTAAACATGATGTATCAGCAGAATCTTTAAAGATTGCCCCAGAATCTTTGCAACCACGTGTCACGGATCTCTTCAAAAGCTATTGTGAAAGCTAAGCAGGAGAACCCACTTGGTCATTCTCTTTTGCAAGACCATGCCAAAGCAAAGGGCTCCAACTTGCACCAGTGAAAGAGCAGCTGTGGTGAGCTCCCCTGCTCCCAGCTGCTTGGTACCACACCTGCAGCAGAATCAGTGACACATTTGTGCCACAATCATTTCCATTCACAACCCAGGGCACTAAGCCAAACACACCCATCTGGGGCTAAGCTAATATGCCAGATAAAATGGCCAGCTACATCCCCCTCAGAGTACCACAGAGGGAAGGTGCACCAGTAAATGACCATTTCCGAGTACCGCAGCCAGCCTTGGCAAAGCCACCTTGGTAGAGCTCAAAGTTAAGCCGTGCTCCCTGCCAGGAGATGAGACTGTTTCAAATACCTCCTTACTGCTGCTGCATATTAGCTGATTGGACTATTTCTAGTGAAGCAAACAAAATTCTGGTTTAGCTATCTGCTGGTTTCTAAACTGAAGACAGACTGTGCCATCAACATTCCCATGAACTGGTTCAATGCTATGAACCAGCTTGTGTGTTCGAAAAAGAGGTTCAAACTCATCCCTTCAGGGGGTACCACTATTTAACAGGTTCCACATTAAAGCCGGCACACCGGCATCAGTCCAGCCTTCCCCAAGCCCTACAGTGCACCAGCAGGCTGACTCATCACATAAGAACCTTAAGGTCTTTATTAAAACCATTTTTATCTTACTGGAAAAACAAAGTTATATCTAATTTCTGAAAGTACTTGACACGGAAATAGAGCCCCAGCTACCCTACTCTATCTTCTCACTTTCAAGCAAGCTGCTCAACACAAGTAAAAAAACGTATTTCTAATAAAAATACATTTGTACATCAAACAACTGATTCTCTTTTAAGTAATATTTTGTATGCAGCTCTAAAACCATTTTAAGTACCTTTTAAGAAAAGATACAAATCAACAAAATCAGTTTAAAACTCATACAACATATGAGTGACTTCAGCATATTTGTGAAGAATTTTGTGGTGTCTTCCCAACAGCAAAAAAAGTTTAAGTGCAAAGTTATGGACAGCCCTTAACAGAACTCAGTCCTGACTGCAGATGCATAATCATTATTTTTGTCTAGTAGGGGAGCCTGATAAGTGATCTAACAAACGCTAAGATAATATTGTACAGAATATTAGAGATATTGGTGCAGGCATTGGGAGATGGGGACAGAATAGGATGAGGAGGGAACAGCAGAGGCAGGCTGAAGACATGCAGTTCCCTGATACTCTGTTGTGTCCCAAGAAACACTCCCTCATTTCCCTCCTTAATATTTGGGGGATAAGAACTACCTCGGTTCTTTAGACCACTGTTTTAACCATTCTTGTGAGGATTTTGTACTTCACAGTTCTGATCTGAACCTGAAGCTGCATTTTTCACAAAAAGATCTTCAGTTAGCAAGTAAAAACCACACTGAATTTGAGAAGACTAATGAACCCAAGAATCATTTTTAGCTAAAAAAGCAAGAATGCAGACCCACATTAATTAGAAGAAACGGTGCACAGGTGACACCTTGTGTCCATTTTAGTAAAAGGCTGAACACTTCCTGGCTGCACACAGAGCCACCTTCACTCCTTGACTCCCTAACTGGGTTAGGAGTGGCAGAGTCAGATGCAGGCTTGTGACATTAGCTGAGGCTAACCTAAACTAAAAAACTAACAATACACCCACAGCACTTCATTTCAATGTAGACTAAACCAGCCTGGCTTAACTATGTTCTGCAGTTACGTCGATAATGCTCTCTATGAAGTCATTAAGCAGTCAGAAAGTTCCCTACGATTATTATTTCAGAAACTGCACTGCACTTACCTGCATGTCCATCGCCAAGCCAGTTATCTGTCATCGCACCATTAAGGAAAACGCAGCAAAATCTTATAGACTGGAGCAACACGAAGAAGCTGCACACATGCTGAGCACACACGCAAAGGCCTTTACTGTTCAAAATTAAAACAGCCTTCCTGTGTAGTATTACATTAAGCACTGGAAAAAATGAAAACCTCCAACAATCTAGAGACTTACATACAGTTTCAATAATTGCTTTTCAGTAGCCTTTCAAGCTGCCACCTCAAGTCGTTACCCCAAGGGCTGACGGATGCACTGGCCTCCTTTCCATGATGAAACTGGCTAACGACAAACTCAATCAGTCCTTGCATAGAAGCATGTTACAGGTTTAACAGCTGGATTCTTTCATAGTTTTTTTAAGTCAGTTTTCTAACTAATAATACCAAATCATAAAAACATATCAATATGCTGCCACAGCCATAGAAAATAAATAATTTCTTGAAGCGCATCAATGTAGGCTTTTAATACTACTCTCCTACCTCAGAAGCCAAAGGATCTACTTGCTGTGGTAACTGCTGAGCACAAACAATCGTTGAAGAATTTTGCTATGATTAGAATGCTTTTAACAGTTCACGAATGTGTATAAAATGCCATTAAGCATTTTCCCAGATCACATATCCAGGTTGCTCCATACATCACACAGGGAACAAGCAGCTGGAAGCTTTTAAATGACCAGTTTGCAAGTCAAGTCACAATCAGATTCATCTAATAGCTCACAGCCAACAGCCTGCAACCACAATGAAGCTGATGGTTTTCTTAACAACATAACTAAACCCACATTGTTTTCCTAGTTACTGCTGTGGCTCAACAGGACTAACAGGAATAGCAAATCCCTCCATACAGTGGAATGCGACTAGAGATAGTTAACCTATTGATAAAGGCGACAGCATTTCTACACACTGGCTTTCCTGGCTGTATCTAGTTCACACTGATGTCACCACTCCCTTTTTCCACATGCTGTGCCACTGCAAATTGCTACAAGGACACAGCAACAACACAGAGAATGGGAGCATCCAAGGATGGAGTTTCCACAACATCTCTTGGCAACTAATGCCAGTGTTTGCCCTTACAGTGAAAAGAGTCTTTCTTACATTTAAATGGAATTTTCTGTGCTTCATTTTGTGCCTTTTCTCTCTTGTCCCTCCACTGAGAGAAGTCTGGCTCCATTTCCTTTACTCCCTCCCCCATCAGGTATTTATCCACATCGATAAAAAAACCCTGAGCCTCTTGTTTTCCAGGCTGCACGATTCCAGCTCTCAGCCTCTCCTTATGTGACAGATGTGCCAACCTTTCAGTCTTCTTTGTGACCCTTCACTGGACTCAATCCAGTATGCCCATGTCTCTCTGGTACTTGGGAGCTAGATGTAGGCCCTCATATGTATTACAAGGGCTGAGCAGAGAGAAATATCACCTCCCAAAACCTGCTGGCAATGCTTTGCCTAATGCAGCCCAGGAGGCTGGTGGCCACCTTTGCCACAAAGGCAAATTGCTGGCTCATGGTCACCTTGGTGTCCAGCAGGATACCCAGGGCCTTTTCTGCCAAGATGCTTTGCAGACTGTCAGTCTCCAGCCTGTCCTGGTGCCTGAGGCTGTTCCTCCCCAGGGGCAGGACTCTGCACTTCCCTTTGCCAAGCTTTGAAACTCCTGACCAGCACATTTCGCCAGCCTCTCAGGATCCCTCTGAATGGTAGCACAACCATCTGGTCTATCAACAACTCCTCCCAGTTTTGTATCCAACACCTAAAGAATATTCACATAGAACAGCACAGTTCAGGGAAAAACTGTTTCCCGACATTCCCAAACCAACAAGCCCAGGTTCTTCAGGAAGATGGCTCAGTGCAGGTATCACTGCTTTCACAGGCTCAGACGACTTGGACCCAGGGGGTAAAGGATCTCTCCACAAGGTACCCCTGAATTTCCAACTGAGGGAACAGCAGAGATCAGACCTGTTTGCACATGGCAGCTTAAACACAATGAATTCACTCTTAGCCCACGCGGCAATCCACAAAAGCAGCTAAGGGAAGCAATACACTGAACACCATGGAAGTTCACGCAGCACCAGCTGAGCTTCATACAAGCAGAACTCGAGTCCCCAGATTAATAAATGTGCTAACACAGGTATGTAGTGTTCTCCCTCTAAGTCACTCACTACCTCTCCAGGGAGACTAAAAACGCACCTGTGAACATTTGCTACATGTTAAAACTGTTGGTTGCTAAAACCTGGTCTTTGAATGAACATATTTTAGGCAGAAATAAAATAAAATATTCTAAAAGTCTGTTGATGAGCAGAAGGATACAACAATGCAGATCCAGTTAAACAGGAGCATGAACATGTAATCTGCTGGCCTTCCATCAAAAGCCCCTGTAAATAAAAAGAATTGTTAGGAAAGGAAGTGAAATCTTTGTGAGAAATTTTTTACTTTTAGGAGTCTGAGGAAAGCCCAGTTAATAACAGTTGCCCTACATGCAGTCTGTGGCCTATGATTTTTATTTTTAAAATTTTAAAAGGCCTTATAATACAAAACTACAGGACCAAAACATAAGACATTCAGCCTATTGCCTTAAGTGCACACACAGCAGCTCTACTTAAAAAAGAACACACTTTAACTCTGGAGAGAAGTGGTTTTAACTTCACAAGACTTCAAGACGGAGTTAGACCCCAACCTTCCTAAGCAGCTGCCAGTCAGAAGCACACAATAAGGAAATATACTTGCACAGAAAAAGCAGACACCAAGTTTAATGACCGAGTCACGTGAAAACCAGTCCTTGCTTAGGCAAATTGCATCCTCTTTGCATCACCTAGTCAGACTCAAGAGACACAGAGTTTCTACACTCCAGAAAAAGCAACATACATGACAAGGAGGGTACACGTGCAGCACATTCTGCTCCTTCTCCTAAGCTGAACTGCTTGCCTAACTTCCCATTTCAAACGTGTCGATTTTTTTTCAGGACAGGGAAACAAAAGCGGCAGAGTAACATTCCCCGCGGGTCATACTAAACGAAATTATCCTTACATTCCCAGTTGAGTTTGAGACCTGGCAGAGAGAAGGGTTGGAAAACGAAACCCCTAACAACTCCTTGCAAACGTGGAAATCGTAAGCTCTCCCTCTTGCAAACTGTGGTAAAAGGCTGGCACGGACCTTGGCATTTGAGCAAGACTCATATCAGCTTTCATACAGCTCCACGCAGGCACGGAAAGCCTGAGAATGCTGCTGCAACAGACCCAAACCACTCAGCGACAAACAGTGCACCACGAACAAGGTGAATTACATGCTAATTAATTAAACACCAAAATGCCCAGAAAGAAGGACGCTGCTTAATGCTAGCACTATTTGGCTTCCTACAACTACCTTACGTGTCCCCAAAAACTTAAAGACAGACAAACTACTCTTAAGCGTTAGCTTTTTAGAATAACTAGAGTAACTCAGCCTATGTGAAACAAAATTGATGTTTCAGTCATTTTAAATTTATTTAAGTTCAGCCATGCAAGTTACACGATGAGGGGTGGGGGAAGAAAAAAAACACGCTTTGAAAAACCTTTTGAAAAGTCTTAAAGTTGGAGAAGTCCAGTTTATGTGGTTTTCTCCTCCTTACTGTTGCCATACAACAAATAGAAACAAATAAAGAGAGGTAGCTGACTAAGCCTGTAGAAACCCCCAAACAGGAATTCCTCCAGAATAGAAAGAAATCAAAGCAAGTATTATTCCCTTAAAGTTTTCCACTTCTCGTTATCTAGGAGATTACTAACAAGAATATTAGACAAACTATTTAAGTTGACTTTCCAGCGAATATCTAAAAAAACTGTGCTACAGACTGCCAAAAAAGCTCAGTACAGGGGTGAGGTGAGCTCTAACCCACCGGGTCCTTCAGTAGGGCCCTGGGTATAATCCAGTTATCGGGGAGCAGCTGCAGACTCATAATCTCATCACTCATACTGCTGGGGAGTGAACTCTCTATATTCCTTTTTCTCTGTTGATATTTGTTGTGTTCTTCTCCAACAGAAACAAAACAAAAACACATCAATCTCCTTTTCCTCAGGAAGCTAAAGGTCAGCTTGTTAGGAAAGCATAGTACAAAACCATATGTGTATTTTTGACAGCTAGCATGCAACACTAGTGTATGCTCAAAAACCATGTACAATCCTGAAAATAGAAGTTTCACTCCTGCAGTTTCACAGACTAAAGGAGGCACAGACCTACACTGGTTTCCACCTGTAAACACATTATCAGCAACTTCTACACCTCCCATTTTCAGAAGGATTCAAGCTTTTTTCATGGAGAGGGAGGACTGATCTAACCAAGAACTTCATTGATACCCAGAAAAATGACTGTAATGTAAAAGAAATTAATTGATTCAAACAACAACACAGCTGACTTCCCAGTTCCAAAAATCCAGATGTGTCGT